TGGGAGGAGGGGGATGGGTAATTTTATTTTTAATTTATAGGTTGTAAAGCTATTTTTTGAACTCGTTTAATAATTAGAGGGTGTTTGTAGAAGGAAAATATTTGAGACTCTCACAAAAGAGGATCTTTATGACCTCTGTTGATATATTAGTTATTGATGTGTTTAAATTTTTTTGATAATTATATTTGATAATGACATGAATGATTCAAATTATTTTGAGAGTTGTGAGGATTGTATTCGGTAGAGATCTCTATTACTACTGTTTGTAGAAAGTGATGGGTGTTAAGAAATGTTTGGTTTCCATTCAACAACCATAGACTGTCGCTACTACCTCGGCTGCTAGGGGCAGCTAGCCCACCTCCTTTTCTATCTTTCTCATATAGAAAATGATATATAAATTTATTTTTAAAATTTAATGATATGTTAAAAAGATGATTAATTGATAATTAAATATTTTTAATTATTAATTAATTATTATTTTTACACATATGTAGATTAAAAAAAGTAGACCTAATTTTTAAAATTGAATAGCAATATTCTTCTCAAATAATAGTGTTTGGTATTTAATTTAGTCTTTTTTTTTTTTTACTCATTCAGATCCCACCCTAACCACCTCTCTCTGACCCAGAATTCGGTACAAAAAAAAATGGATCTAGACTGTGCTCCCTGGAAAGCATTGACAAAGGCCTCCTAAGTCACCCCAATGCTGAAGAACCAAATTTTTAATCATTGACCCACATCTTAAATTTTGAATTCTTAAATTTTTATATAAGAGTTATAGATAAAAACCCAATTTGGATATTTAAAAAAATCTTAATTTTTTTTACATTGATCCACATCTTAAATTTTATTTTATTTTATTTTTATAGGTTTTGTATTCTAATTTATGTCTAATTTTGTGATTGATACGTATGGAAGTGAAAAAATGATTAACAAAAATAATATTATACTTGTGTTTTTGAAAATATTTAGTAATCCGCTTGAAGGGTTTTCATTTAAAATATTAAAATAAGACTCATCACATTATTCTGTATTAATTTTAGAAAATTTTTATAAAAACTAATACCATTATTAAAAATACAAGAAAAAAAAAAAGAAAACCAAATATGATTGGTTGTAAAAAAAAATAGTAATACTTGGTTATCCCATGATGTTTGGACATATATTTTTAATAAAGGTTTTTGTATAAAATTGTTCTTAAGTTTCTAAACAAAATGTAAAATTTAGTAACTTTATAGTAATATTTTTATGTACAAATTTTATATTTGTATAGAAAATTATTATACAAATTAATAAATTATATAATTTTTTTTTCAAATGTTATCATATAAATGAATTGAATTCTATTTTAATTTTAAAGTTTTATTATCAAATGGCATATTAATTAGTAAAAATATTTAAAAATTAATTAATTCATAAAATCATTTTTCGTTGGGAGATTTGGTGATAAATCCCTCAGTGTCTCACTCCCTCAGTGACTAACTTGTCCCTTTTTTTGGGCCAAAACTTGTCCTTCAAAAGGACAAGAATTATGTAGATCATTTCAAAATTTCCTAGTATTTTAAAACTTATTTCTTTTACTATAATATCCTCACATATATGTGTGTCTGTGTATATCAGATTGCACTCTCTCTCTCTCATCTTAATCTCTTTTCTCTATGTCTCCCTCTTATCATTGTCGCTCTTCATCAGTGCCATCGCCATTCTCCATTAGCACTAGGGGTGGATTTATGCGGTTGGAAGTTCGGTTTTGACCAGTCCGCATCTATGCGGTTTGGGAAAAAGTTAAACCGCAATCGCTAGCAATGCAGTTTGCGGTTTGTGCGGATAGGATTTGCGGATGTGAGGGCAACGGTTTGCGGTTTGAGGTTTGAATTTTTTCCTTCAAAAATTAATTTTTGATTTTTTTTTTTGCCATTTTATAAATATTTATTTTGGATCATTTTCTTCCAATTTTTCTAAAATGCTCTAACATATTAATTAATAAATTAAAATTAAAAACACAACAAAATCACCAACTCCTTATCAATGGTACTGCTTCATAGCCCATTAAAGACAAACACCAACTTTAACTACATGCAATCTTCAATACATATGTAATATATGTAAATTATGAATACATCTGAATGAAATAACAAATGAATAAATAAAAGAAAAGGAAGAGAAAGGGAAAAAAAAATTGAAAATGAAATTTAACTGAGCATAAAGAAAAGGATCGGTCCATATTTAAAATATATATATATATATATAAAGAGAGGTTAATGTAGGTGGGTTGGGCGGGTGTAGTTCAAACCTACAACCCGCCGACAACTCGAAAATCCACCAAAATTCAAACCGCACCCGACCCTAATGTATTTGTGAAACCACCCATATGTGTGCGGGTCGAATTGGGTAAGGCAGTTTGGACGAGCCGGATAACCCTATGTCCAGTCCTAATTAACACCACCGCCACTCACTAAGGAACTTTTTGTCTTACCGTCTTTATCACCACCATTACTTGTCGTATCCACAACTTCAGATCTAAGATCATTCACAGTTATCGTTGCCGAAAAATGACGATTTGCGACGGTTCACAAATCTCAAATGTGAGATCCTTCACTCTCTCTCTCTCTCTGTGGCTCTGATGGTTCGTACTCTCTCTCTATATATGTGTATGTGTCACTCACCATTTATGCTCTCTGTCTCTCTCTCTTCTTCTTCTTCTTCTTCTCCTCATCTTGATCTTCTATTTTCGAACTCTATCTTTCTATCTCTCTTTCTTTTTCTCAGAATGCTCTATTCTTCCAATAGTAAAATTTTACTCTAGTTCATGACACAACACTCTCTTGTAAAGTCATTATCGGAGCTTATTTTAAAATAAAATTTTACGTTGAATCATAACAAACTTTATTTTATAATAAAAATAAAATAAAATTTTACTCTGAGTCAGAGTAAAATTTATTATGATTCAAAATAAAATTTTATTTTACTGTTATTAAGTAGATCAGCTTGTTGTTAACCAGAGTAAAATTTTACTATTACAAAAATAGAGTATATACTAAGGCCAAGTTTGGGAAGACTAAATAAGTACACTTTTTGACTTTTTTTGTATTATGTGTAAAAAAAGTAGAGAGGAGATGTTGATTGATATGACCCAAAAAGATAAAAAGATGAAATAAGTGCACTTTTTTAGGTTAACCAAACTTGGCCTAAATGAACGAACCAAAGTTAATTTTACTTTTTCATTGCAATAGCTTAATTTCTCATTTTTTCGTCAAATCAAAGTTTTTTTTTTTTTTTTTAATCTCAAATTTGGAATTATTGATATCAAATATGAGTTCATAAGTATCAAATTTGAGATAATGGTGGTAGTTTGATGGTAAAAATGGTGGTTGCCGATTGATGATGAAGACGAACGACGTTGATAAATGATGAAGATGATGAACAACTATCGAGTTGGTGAAAAAAATATATATATATAATAATTACATAAAAAATTAAATTAATAAATTTTAATCTTTATATAAAACTTTATAATTATTAGAGGGTTTTGAAAGTGTTATGTAGCGTTTGGTAGAGTTTTCCAAATATAATTTGAGAATAGAGTTGTATTTTGAGTTTGTGAGTTTTGAAATTATGATTTGAGTGTGGAAAACAAGGTTTTGAAAACCGGACCGGACCATTCGGTTTGACCGGTTGAACCGTCGACAAGTCGGGGTTCCGGTCCGGATGGACCCTCTGAACCGGCTAAAACTAAAAACCGGTGTATTTAGTGAGAACTGGGAAAACCGACGGTTGAATCGGCGAACCGGTTGACCTGGTGCCAGTTCACCGGGTTGTCCGACCTTTTTTCTTTTTGATTTTTTCTTTCTTTTTATTTTCTTTCATTCTTTTCTCTTTCTTTCTTATTTTTATGTAAAATATAATAATATAAGAAAATTTTAATTTGAAACTCTTTTTCAAGGGTCTCCTCTTGTGAGGAATCTCATTAAGAGTTTGATGAAATTATTGTGAAAGTCTTCACCTATTTATAAGAAAAAAACTCTTTCAAAAAAACTCAAGAAATCCATGTGGGATTCAATCAAATGTATTGGAGGGAATATTGAAATTTTGATATCCCTCCAAAATTTTTGCTTTCCTTTCAATCAAATTATTTGAATTAAAATCATATGGAGGGAATATTAAATATTTGATTTCATCTTCCAAAATTGAAATTAATAATATTTTAAAATATATTATTATATTTTTCAGTAAAAAAATATTAAGACAAATATTTAAGATAATTTAATATTTTTAATTTATAATTTTATTACTTATATTTTTATTTAAATATAATTTTAATATATTTATTACGTCACGGTTCGATTCTAGTTCAACCTGACGGTTGAACCGATAACCCATCCACCCGATCCCCTTTTTCGGTTCGCTCACCGGTCCAGTTTTTAAAACATTGGTAGAAAATTTGTTTAGTTATGAATTTTGAAAAGAGTTGTGAATTGTTTTTGGAGAGAGTTTTGAGTTTTTGAAATTAAAAAAATTATTTGATTTAAAAACTTACAACTCATAACCAAAAACACAATCTAAAATTCTATTCAAAACTCATATAAAAATTAAGAAAATTCTGAAAATATTTTTTATTTACAATATAAAAATAACAGGTACAAAAAAAAAATCGAATACTGTTCCGGTCAACCGGCGAACGTCCGGAGGATATCCAGGAGGACGACCAGGTTAGCCAAATTTTCCTGCCTAGAAATAAGTTTTCACAAATGAATGTGAAATCACGTTTTCAAAGCTCAAACCAAACACAACATTCAAATCAAAGACTAAAATCACATTTTTAGACTTCCACCAAACAGAACCTTAAATTTTTTTTTTTATTCTTTTAACCAGAAAGGTAAGGTTGGGTTTGTGCATCAGTAGTCTTCCCTAACTTTTTACACTGTAAATCTAAACCACAACTCTCTCTCTCTCTCTCTCTCTCTCACACACACACACACACTTTGACCGGTTGCTATCCGCAGGAGCAGCTCTCTCTCTCTCTCTCTCGCTCACATGGAGACCCCACTCTGATCTTTTGAGTGGAAACGTGAGCTGAAGCCGCCTCTCTTTTAGAGATGAAAGCTTAAAGAGAACAACGTCTCTCTCTCTCTCTTCTCCCTTGTTTCTTTCTCTCAGTTGATGAAACCCTAATTCAATCCCAACACATATAAGGCAAGAACAAAGCCACCAGTCCCAAATACAGATCTCTCTCTCTCTCTTGCAACCATCAATTTCATCATCTGTGGGTCTTTTATTCTCTCCTTCACGCATACCCTTTTCCCCAAAGACAAAGCTACAAATAAAAAAGCATGGACAGGACTGTTCTCTTTCTCGATCCTCAGAGCTTTAAAGACATGGGTACTTTCTGAATTCTCTTCCAGAACCCCTCTCTCTCTCTCTACTTGCGTCTTCTTAAATGGGTTTGTAAGTAAGCAAATCTCTATTGCAGCTGTGCAAATCTCTCACTCCATATCTCTGTCTCCCATACGTTATATTCCTTTTTTTGTTCCTCTCTCTCTCTCTCTCTCTACACTTGTTTATTTTCTCTCTCTAACACAGAGACATGGATTCGGGTAACAGTGGGAGCATACAGTCATCGAGTGGTGGTGATGAAGAGTACGATTCACGCGCCGAATCAATCTCCTCTTTTCTCAACTCCAATATTAGTCCCATCACCAACCCACCACCACCACCATCTCACCACCACCACCACCACAACCACAATTCCTCCATGTTCGACCCACTATCAAACTACTTCGACCCCTTATCATCACGATCCTCAATTCTCGACACTGTCCCTGTGTGGTCCAAGACCCTACGATCTGATTCCAATTGCACCCAGATCAACAACCCCATCTTCCCATCACCACCGTCCGTTCAACCCTTCTTCGGCTCCTCATCATCATCACCGACTGTTCATTTCCCTCCGGTGGCAGAGAATACAGTTACAATCACAGCAACCTCACCACGAGCTTCATCATCATTGGCGACAAATAACAATGATCAGCTTCAGATTCAGAATCAGACCCATCATCACGTGCCTGTACGTAACCCAAAGAAACGATCGAGAGCTTCACGACGTGCACCAACCACTGTTCTGACCACAGACACCGCCAATTTCCGAGCCATGGTTCAGGAGTTCACTGGCATCCCAGCACCTCCTTTCACATCCTCACCCTTCTCTAGAACCAGACTTGATTTCTTCGGTACACCCTCCACCATCAGATCCAACCCTTTAGATGCTTCTTCGCAACAACAAACACCTTATCTCCTCAGGCCTTTTGCTCAAAAGTTTCAACCACCACCATTTCTTTCATCTTCTTCTTCTTCCTCATCTTCATTTCTGAGTTCTTCCATGGTGGATGGTACTAGCACTAACAATATCAATTCTGGTACTTCAACTACTACTTCTCTTTCTAATTCAACTTCTGTTAACTATCATCAAGGACTACTCAACATGCAAAACCCAATTCTCACATTTCAGTCTCTCCTCCAATCTTCTGCTCCCAAATTCCCACTTTCCAATCAGACCATTCTGGGTTCAAAACCCTCACTTGAAATTCCATCAAATGATTCACATCTGAAAATGGGTGTCTTGGATGAATTTGGGTTGACCCATGGGCATGTCAACCACACCCATCTTACTGGACTCCCCAATCTGGTCTCCTCCGATCGAACCGCGTCGAGGACCACGGATAACAATCCGGCGAGCTGGGCCGACGGAGTGGGTTCGGGATCAACCAACACAGATCAGAGTCATTTAAGGTCAGTCAATGGAAATTACGAGTTTTTGCAGAGTGTTGCTAATGGGAAGTTACATTACTCAGGTTCGGCATCGTCGAATTTTCACAGTGAAAAGGGATCGGAAAATGTTTCAACCAGAGGTGAAGGTATGATGGAATCATGGATATGTTCTTCAGATTAGTAATCTTCTTCAGTCAATTATCAGACAAAACAAAATGAGAACAAAACAATGATGGTGTTTATCATAATACATGAAAGAAACAAGAGGTTAATTAGATTCTCTCTTATCTTAATTATGACTTTCAACAACATATCTGAATTATGTGTAAATAATTAGTCTTTCTTTAATTTCTTTTCTTTTTTTCTTTTTTTCTTTGTTTGTTTTTGTTTTTGTTTTTTTTTTTTTGGTTTTTTTTTTTCAAAGGTTTAAGTTAGTTATCTATATATATATATATACGTATCTTAATATAATATTATTATTATATAGATACATGCAGATACGAAAGATCATGATCATGGTCATGGTCATGGGACTTGTTCTTTTGTTTGTTTTTATTATCAAAGTTGGGGTTTCTATCTTTTTCAAATAGTAAAATGTTGTTAGTTTGTTTGGATATGAAATTATGAATCGAGGTTTTTGTCTATTCATGGGGATTTCACATGGGGTTTGTTTGACCATTGTGTTGTATATGGAATGGAATAGAATGAAATGGAGAATGTGTATCAGAGATGGAAACCGAATTCATCAAACTCTGTGTTCGTGTTTGCGTGTGTGACTGTGTTCTTTCTTCCTCGTACCGTCTGTTCTTCGATTCTCTATCTTATCTATGTAAACGAACATAAAAAATCAACTGTTTGCTGCAATGCAACACAATGGCCCTAGACTTTTGTCTGGCTTCTTCTATTGTTCTCTTTCTCTCTTAATATTAATATTAATATTTTTTTTTTTTTTGAAAAGAAAAAAACTACATAATTATAAATAATATATTTATAAAAGTAACGTGTGTAGTGGACTTTCAAATTTTAATTGGCCTGTAATGTCATTTGCATATAAATATTTAGCTTATTATCTTTTATATAGATGTATTGGTTTAGAGGAAATACTACAACAACTATATATATCTACGACCGTATCTTCTCATCTAGCTTGTTAGTATAATTGTATTGGACTTATATACATTAGTGGTATTCTCCTTACACCAATATTATGGTGGGTGTTATATTAGTTATATATTGATTGGTTTGATGAGTCTCACAATTTTTATGAGTTACCAATATAATAATAATACATAACATAAAAATTAAATGTAATCGTCATAGTATTGCGTGGAAATTACAATTCAGTTTAAGTTTTCAAAAAAAATTTGCAATTGAGTGATAAATTTTAAATTTATAAAAAAAAAATTATTAACTTATAAATATTTTGTGAAATTTCACTATTTGCAATTTTTCTTATAGTTATTTGACATGACGTTTTTACCAAATAAATTTGAACCATATATTTTATCTTTTAAATATTTTTCTTAGTATAAAAAAGTGATGCATTTTTTTTAAGACCAACTAAAAAGGTATTGTTGAGCTTAATGTCATTATGGTGATTTAAATCATTTATTTTGTATAATTTATTAAATATATTAATTATATAAAAAAATTATATTAATTGAATATTGATAATTACACAATTAACCGTCTTAGAAATGCTAATCCAATCTGTGGGGATATATTTTTGAGTACCGACACGTGGCAAGGTGACGCCGACGTGTTAGTCGAGGTGTCACGTGTCAAGGTCATGACGCCGAGGTGATCTCGGTTAAGTCGAGATTATCTCCGAAGATATCAGAATCCGAGAAAAGCGGATAGGGGACAAGAGTCCTAGAATAAAAAATGCTACATCCCCTAAAAAACATCCCCCTAATCCCCCTAATTTCCATATTAAGTAAAGAAAAAAAAAAAAAAAGGAAACAGTTGCCAGAAATGGAAATTAGGGGGATTAGGGGTGAGGATTTTAGGGCTACAAATCATTTCCCTTTGTTTTTATTTTTATCAAATAAAAATTCATATTTTATTTTTATTTATTTATTTTTAATATATGTTGAGGGATGACAATTAAGGTAGACCACAAAATATTACCCAAATTTTGGATTATTATAGCGTAGAGTGTAGACCACTCACAATCACAACGTGTGTAGTATAGGATCGATAGCAGCATAAAAATATGCAGAGATAGAGGAGAACTAGTAAACAAACAGTATATGTAATAATTATGAGACATAGCTAATTCTATACGCAAGTGTCTTCATGGGTTGTACCTTAGGACAAAAACTATCACGTCAACTTGTCTCCATTTGTACATCCCTCTCCTCTTATGCGAAATTTTCATTCAAATTTTTTAAATTTAATATGTCAATTTTTTTTGATTTTCTTGAAAGTTTAAATAGCAATTTGGCTTATGTCAATTTCATATTAAAATTTTTCATCTAATTTGTTAAATTTATTATTTTTAAATTTTAAAATTTTTGGATGCCTTAATTGACGACCAAAGAAACAAAAAAAGATAAATTACAAATATATCTTTCAGATTTGTTTAAAATATAGAATGTCTCCTGCAGTTTGAAAAATTACAAATATTTCTTTATTAGAATTTTTTATTTAAAAAAATTAACTAAAAAAATGAAATTCATAATTGTTCTCTTATATAATAATAAAATTATCTAAATTATTAATTAAAACGTATTTTTAATATCATTAAAAACTGTTAATTGACTTAATGATTTATTAATAAAAATAGAGATTTATTATGAAATTAAAAATTTTAGGGGGTGAAATGTAATTTTTCAAATTATAATCTGTATTTTAACTAAATTTTAATAGATGTATTTATAATTTATTAAAAAATAAATAAAAATCAAAGAGTCTTTATATCAAAATTAGCAGGAAGAAATGATATTAAAAGTCACATCATCTTTTGATAACAGAATTGATGCTAATACCAAAATATAATTATTAAAATGTCACATAAATTTAAAATACGACAATGCTACGTAGTTCAAATTCTGTGACTTAAAAGTGGCTCAAATGGCCAAAACGATGTCGTTTTGAGTACAGAACAACATAAAAATGGCCAAAACGACGTCGTTTTGATCATTTGAGTTACTTTTGACCCACAAAATTTGAACTACTAGAAATATCAGGGGGAAGGTGCTCTTAAGCCAAGTTTAACAAGTCCACAAAAAGGTAAAAAGTCAAAAAAATTATTTAGAATGTTAAAAAAGTTAATACTATGCACTAAAAGTCAACAATTACGGCTGTATAATTTTCAATCTTAATTTTTTTTTACATACTATATTTAAAAAAATTAACTAAAAAAATGAAATTCATAATTGTTCTCTTATATAATAATAAAATTATCTAAATTATTAATTAAAACGTATTTTTAATATCATTAAAAACTGTTAATTGACTTAATGATTTATTAATAAAAATAGAGATTTATTATGAAATTAAAAATTTTAGGGGGTGAAATGTAATTTTTCAAATTATAATCTGTATTTTAACTAAATTTTAATAGATGTATTTATAATTTATTAAAAAATAAATAAAAATCAAAGAATCTTTATATCAAAATTAGCAGGAAGAAATGATATTAAAAGTCACATCATCTTTTGATAACAGAATTGATGCTAATACCAAAATATAATTATTAAAATGTCACATAAATTTAAAATACGACAATGCTACGTAGTTCAAATTCTGTGACTTAAAAGTGGCTCAAATGGCCAAAACGATGTCGTTTTGAGTACAGAACAACATAAAAATGGCCAAAACGACGTCGTTTTGATCATTTGAGTTACTTTTGACCCACAAAATTTGAACTACTAGAAATATCAGGGGGAAGGTGCTCTTAAGCCAAGTTTAACAAGTCCACAAAAAGGTAAAAAGTCAAAAAAATTATTTAGAATGTTAAAAAAGTTAATACTATGCACTAAAAGTCAACAATTACGGCTGTATAATTTTCAATCTTAATTTTTTTCTACACACTAATTTATACAATTTTTTAATACACATTTTTTTCATAAAAAGTCAAAAACTTAACCTAAACATCCATATTTTTTTCTCAATTTTTTAATTTAAAAAGATAAAAACATCTCATTCTCATTTCCCGTTCCGTCGTTATATGCATAGTTTTTAAAAAATAATTTTTTTTTATATAGGTTGACATGTTTTAATATGTATTTTTTTTTAAAAAACAAAATACTATGCTTTTTATTTATAAAAATGACATTTTTATTTTAATTTTTATTGTTTTTTATAAATTTTTGTAAAACTAAGGTTTCTTTTGATGTTTTACTAAACTAGAGTTTGCTTTTTAATTTTTTCAGTTTTAATTTTTATAAATTCACTAAAAAAATTGATTTCTTTTTAAAATTTTATTGTTTTATTTAGACTTTTTAATATATATTTTTTTGTTTTTCAAATCTTTTGAGACTAAACCGATCTAAAAAAAAAATTCGAAGGAAAAATATTATAGAAATGTATAACATTTAAAGGGAAAATATTATAAAAATGTATAACAACTAGACTAGAGGGAAAAATATTAATTACCCTTCTCTTTTTAACGTTGTCAAGTATATGAAAATTTATTTATATATTAAAAAAACACAATAAATATGGAAGAAATAATTTTATTAAAAAAAACACAAATATTCATTATAAACAGGGTTCATATTTTGTCAAATTTTCAATGTATGTTTTTTTCGTTATATTTGTTATTACTATACTCAATATTTTGTACTATTGTTTTTTTATTTTTTTTGTCAACATATTTCGTACTGTCGTTGAGTATTATTGACGATCTCTGCATTACTCTTTTTTATATTTTTCTCATGAAGAAATATTTAATATAACGATAATATTATTTTACATAGTATATAACACTATAATACAATATTATAAACGTAATTAAGTAGAGCCAAGCCAGCTCAAAGTGAAGTGATTTAATATGAGAACTTTCTTTGACTAATAATATTATCATATATAATATTACTGTTATATTTAATATTATTTTCTCGCAAACAACAATGGACTAGGAGAACTTTTTTTTTTTTAATTTACTTTTTTTCTAGAAGAATTATCTGAGATGAACTGTGAACTAGTATTGGTATGCATGGCAGCATGAGCTAGTAATTTATTACCTGAGAATAAAAATCTATAAAACCGAAGAGCTTAGACTCTTGTACCAAAAAAAAAAAAAGGGGCAGAGATTAGACTCTAGTGTTTAATATGTACATCAATAATAATTCTAGGTCCTAAAAAATTATCAAAAAAAGAGCATTGTAAACTAAAGGTGA